CTGACAACACCAAGTCAAGGGTTAAGATCCCCTTACTGGTCATCTTTTTTTTAAAAGAAAACAAAATATTACAAGACCAGTTTCCTTTTTAGGTCTTTTGCGACTACTTTCTCTCTATTTATTAAGAGTAAACTTAAGTGAGGGGTTAAAAAGTATTCTCAGAAGAGCTAAGCCTGGTACTTAAAGTTTTTGGTTTTTTGAAGGTTTTTTCTTATTTGTTTTAAATGATTTAAGTATTATAAAAGAATTTATGTTCGTGGTAGAAGATTTGAAAAATGTCCAAAAATGTAAAAAAGAAGAAAAAGATAAATAACATAAACTACTTAATATAGATAATCCTACCACTGAGAAATAAATACTGTTAAATATTTGATGTTTATATTTCCAACCTTTCCTTCTACATAACATATATTTATGTGTCTGAGTTTGTATGTGTGTAAATAGTATAAAAAGTTTTACACAGTTTGTATCTGTACTTCCTGGAGCTTCATATCCTGCTTTTTTCCTCTTAACACACATTAGAAGCGTTTCCCCAAGACATATTTGTACAAAGCCTGCTGTTGAACAGCTGCATATTATTATATTGGGTACCATAATTTATTTAATCTTTCCAGTAGTTAATTCTTTTCCAGCTTTTTTGCTTTTTGAGTAAAGCGGTTTTGTTACATTCATTTTTTGCATGGCTCTTTGGTCATTTCCTCAACATGCCAAATTGCTGTCTGAAAGGAGGTTACGCAGTGGTTAGCCCTACTTGTCAGGTACAAGAGTGCTCATTTCCATCTCAACCTTCCCCGGCACTGGGTATTATCATTTTTTGAATTGACATTGTGTTGGATTTGATAAGTTCATGTGGCATTTTTAAATTTTATTTTGCATTTATTTGATTTCAGATGAGGTTGAATCATTTTTAATATGTTATATAACTGGCCGTTTTTATTTCTTTTGTAAATTGATGGTTTGTGTGCCTGGCCTGCCTGCTTTTCTACTAGAGTATTCTTTTTTCTTACTGATCTATGAGAGCATTTGTTAAATCAAAGATTTTTTTTAATATGTTTGACTTTCTGTTCAAGTTTGTCTTTAGCCTTTTAATTTTACATTTTTACATAGTAAATTTTGAAAAAATTTTTGTGTGGTTTCTTCCATTGCTTCTCTGTTTAAAAAGCCTTCCCTGTTTCAAGGTCAGAAAACATTCTTTAATATATTCATTTAGCTCTTTTATTGCTCATTTTTACCCTCAACATTCTAATTTGAATGTTACTTTGTGTGAGCCAAGGTCCCAACTTAATTTTTTCCAGAAATTTTGACAATTTTCTCAAAACAGTTAAATGATTATTCTTTCCATTGCCATTGATTAGACATGTTACTTATATACTAAATTCTTATGGTTCATTTCTGGACTTTCTGTTCTGTTACGTTGATACGCATGCCATTTTTATGCCAGGCATTTTAAATAGTGAAAGCTAGGGCCGGCCGGTGGCTCACTTGGGAGAGTGTGGTGCTGATAACACCGAGGCCACAGGTTCGGATCCCTATATAGTGATGGCCGGTTGGCTCACTTGGGAGAGCGTGGTGCTGACAACACCAAGTCAAGGATTAAGATCCCCTTACTGGTCATCTTTTAGAAAAAATAAAATAAAATAAAATAGTGAAAGCTTTATAATACATTTTATTGTGTGCTGACATCCCTTCTACACACATGCTTGTTTTGTTTGTTTGGTCTTTTGTTTTTCTTGGCAACTTGTACCCACTTACTCTCTTTGATGCTTTCAGTTTGAAAATATTAAAGTATAAGCACTTTGTTGTTATTGTTGTTGTTTTTTTGACCAGTAAGGGGATCGAAACCCTTGGCTTGGTGTCGCCCACACCACGCACAGCCAGTGAGCGGTCCAGCCATCCCCATATAGGATTCGAACCCACGGCCCCGGTACTACCAGCGCTGCCCTCTCCCAAGTGAGCCACGGGACCAGCCCAGCACTTTGTTGTATTTTAAGGAAGTTTATCTTGTCAGATAACTACATAGCGTGATGGATTCTGAGATTTACAAAGTCCTAAAATGAATGTTTCCATTTTGTTCCTTTTGCAGCAGGTTGTCCAGAGCATTGTTCATCTCCACGAACTCCTCAGCACTCTTCAGGTACATGGCTTTATCTTTTTTTCTGTGCATTTATTTGCTTAGTGAACCAAGAGTAAAGGGACTGTCGTTGACCTGGATGTTTGAGGTTTGTAGGTTGCTTATGGAGAGATGGGCCCCTAACCTAGAGAGAAGGGTGGCTCTCATGGTGGAAAGTGTTATAAATCGACCATGCCACAAAGCACATGTGATACTGACTTGCACTTGGGAGATCATTTCACTCTAGAAAGCCTTTAGGATAATTATAAATTTTCATATTTCCTATCTCTGTGTAGTACCCAGATAGGGAGGCCTCCCAAAACAGCTACTGTTTAGTAGTTCCCGGTAATATCCTCAAATTCTGCTCACTTTCTTTATGAAAATCTAACCTAGCTCATTCCTACCTTCTCCCACCTGCAAAGCATACTACCTCACTCCAGCAATACCAATGACTGCAAAAAGCATGTGACCAGGTCTGACCAAAAACTTGAGTTCGTATACCTTTGACGTTCCTATTTGATAATTTCACAGCGTTATCCTGGTGCATTTTTATCAGTGCAGCTTAAAAATGAGAGAAGGTTGTATAGTCTGTCATAATGCCTGGTGTCCCCTGGTAAGAAGTCGGAAGGGCTTCCAGAAGCTGGCTCTCCTCCGGGCCAGAGTTGCATGGCTACCCCACTTTGTGTGCCTCCCAGGGCGTGGTGTTACAGCAAGACAGCTACATCGAGGACCAGAAGCTGGTGCTGAACGAGAGGACGCTCACACGGAACTCATCGCGCCCCAGCTCCCTCATCGAGCAGGAGAAGCAGCGCAGCCTGGAGAAGCAGCGCCAGGACCTGGCCAACCTTCAGAAGCAGCAGGCACAGCACCTGGAGGAGAAGCGTCGGCGCGAGCGCGAGTGGGAGGCCCGCGAGAGGGAGCTGCAGGAGCGCGAGGCTCTGCTGGCCCAGCGCGAGGAGCAGCTGCAGCGCGGCCAGCAGGACCTGCAGCGGGAGCGCGAGGAGCTCCAGCAGTGGAAGGGCACCTACCAGTGCGACCTGGAGCGGCTGCGCGCCGCCCAGAGACAGCTCGAGAGGGAGCAGGAGCAACTGCAACGTGATGCGGAGCGGCTCAGCCAGCGGCCAGGGGAGCAGCGGGACCTGTGTCAGGTGAGAGCAGCTCCTGCCAAGTGCAGTGGAGGGAGGCTCTCCCTGCCGGCCAGCTGCAGGAAGGAAGAAGCTCGTGTACTAAGCACCGTAAGAGGGGGAGCATAGGGGTGATGTCTGTTTTGACAGAATCCTTGTTTTACCCTGAAAGGAGGTCTTGGGGAGGAAGTGAGTCATCCTCTGCTTTTTGCATTTCTAAGAGGTTGAAGAGGAGAGTGGACATGCCAAGGCTTCTGGGCCAGGGAAGTACAGGGACCCTTGGAGCTGACCGGCACTTGTCCCAGCTCGTTTAAGAGAAAGGCAGTCAGCCTTCAGGATCTTGGAAGCAACCCCTCTCTTCTAAGCCACAGAAGAAATCAGGCATGGCTCCCGCCCAGTACAACTTGTAGCCTGATGGGGAGACACTCCAAGGATAAAAGAGCCCCTGGAACATGTGGTGCCTCTGGTCACAAGACCACACTAAATGGCTCCGATGTGAGAGTTACTGAAAGAACCCATGTGATAGGATCACTGGGAGGGTCTGTGATAGAGGGATGGGCCCTTCCCGGCAAGTAGACCGGAGGCGGCCACTCCTCTGTGGACACATGGTATTCATGGTTGGGGGTGTTCAGACATCTGGAATTTACCTAATTCCTGATTTGTCTTGCGACTGTTGATGAAACCTTTCTTTTTCTGTAGCTGCTGCTTATACGGGAAGGCTTTCAATTATTTAGCACACTAATATTCCATGGTTATTCTGGAACATAGATACTTGTGGCAGATGGAGTGCCTGGCTCTACACAGATCTGCCTGTCTTTTGAAACTCATATCATGTTGCCATTTGTTTTATTCATTGACCTTGGACCGTAAAAGAAAGTTAAACTGACATCTTCCAGAGTGGGGCACAGTTTTAGTTTTCTGTAGTGGTTTTCAGATATATGGTATGGGCAGCAAATAGCTCTGTGTTGCTTTTGATCACACAAGAATGGGTTCCACCCCACCCCCACCCCCAATAAAGTCAGCAGGACTTTGACAAAGGAAGGTTCCCAGGCAACTGAGAGAACACAGATTAGATGATCCTCTTTATCTTTGGTTTAATCTTTGACTAGGATCTTGATGTAAGCTTAGCTCTTCACCCCCACCCCCAATAAAGTCAGCAGGACTTTGACAAAGGAAGGTTCCCAGGCAACTGAGAGAACACAGATGAGATGATCCTCTTTATCTTTGGTTTAATCTTTGACTAGGATCTTGATGTAAGCTTAGCTCTTCCACATACCCTCTAACATGAGCAGGTTTCTATAATCTCTTTGCCCTAAAATAATTATTTGCATCCATGTGTAAATTGTCTGAAAGGGGTTGGCTGGTTAGCTCCGTTGGTTAGAACCTGGTGCTGATAACACCAAGGTGCGGAGTTTGATTCCTGTTCCAGCCAGCCGCCAAAAAACAATCCGTCTTAAGATAAGCAGCTCTCCTTGTTTCTTCAGATAATGGGAGTTCTTTTCTGAGCTACCCATCAAAGGTACTATTTTATGATGCTGATGTTAGTGCATGTAATAAAAATAGTAATGGTATGGGAGATGATGTTTTTATCATGTTCACAGATACTATTTGGGGGAGGGCAATAAATGAAACTGAGAAGTTGGGAATCTCTTTATAGTTAGTTTTGTAGAATCCACGGAAGGGGGAAACACCCAGCTGACACACCTAGTTAAATGCAGCCGTATTTATTGAGTGGGCACCAGGGGTGCTGACAGCCTCAAGGTAAAACCCCTTCTCTTGAATATTGGCAGGTTTCACATCAACATAACAAGCTGATGAGGATCCCATCCTTCTTTCCCAGTTCTGAAGAGTCCCCCTCACCATGTGTACCTTCAGTAGCCAAATCAACGTCATTGGACTCAGAACTTTCTGTGTCCTCAAAAAGGAACAGCATCTCTCGGACACACAAAGAGAAGGGGCCTTTTCACATACTGAGTTCAACCAGCCAGACAGACAAAGTGCAGGAGAGGCAGAGCCAGGCCCCTGCGCCCCCCTCGGCCTCCAGCCGCCTGTTCGGGTTAGCTAAGCCACGGGAGAAGAAGGAGAGAAAGAAGAAGAGCAAAGCCAGCCGCACTCAGCCTGGTGGTAAGTCGCCTGCACCGTCTCCCTGTGGCCATGGTGGCCGTGCGTCCTAAAGAGAGGGTGGATTGTAGAGGTAAGGGGAGGGGGCGGGGTGAAGGAAGGGCGCGGCTCAGACGCACAGGAACCCAGCTGCTGTCCTTCCCACCAGACCCACTTGCTCAGAACACGCGTGCATCACACATGTAAGAACCGCTCTCTGTGGTACACACGTGCAAAGTAGAGGGTGCAGGTTTTATTTTTGAGGCATTGTCCAGTTGAGGAACTTGAACTCACCTAAATGCAGGACAAGGGTACTTCAGAAAGTTTGCGGAAAAACAGAATTAAAGATAATACCAAAAAAAAAAAGAAAATACAAATCTTTTCACGAACTTTTTGAAGACCTTTTGTAATTTCAGATTCTCCCTGTCTTTCTAAAAGGTCTAGTCCAATAACTGATAACAATAGCTAGCACTTGGTGACTTAATCCTCAAATGATGGAATGAAGTAGGTGCTGCTAACCCCGAGAAAAATGAGGAAGCTGCAGCTCGTGGAGATAAGCGAATGCTGCGGCAGTGACAGGGCCTGTGGTTAAGTTACACTGAGTGTCTGCCGTCCACATGTCGCTTTTCCCTGACTCCTTCTCCTTATGGTTGATCTCTCCCTTCTATGTCGGAGGCTAAAGAGAAATTTACATTTTTGCCAGGCCTGTTCATAAATACAGATCCCAGTGCTTATGTGAAAGTTGAAGGGAGCATTGGATCGTGAAGGATATCACTAAGGACTTCATTCATTCGGTTCATTTGGAAACCTCAGTGCACAGAAAGATAATTGTCCATTAGCTCCAGTCACCTGTTTGCATCACAGAAGACTTTGGCAAGAAGGTTAAACAAAAAGAGTAGTTTTTTCCATTTATTTTTCATTCTTGGTTTTCACTTTTCCAGATGGCCCTGCATCAGAAGTGTCAGCAGAGGGCGAAGAGATCTTCTGCTGACCCTTTTCCTCTCTGCTGAGGCAGCTGCCTCCTGTCCTGGCCAGTGGTTCCAAGCCCCACCTCTCCTGCTGCCCCCATGTGTTCAAGTCTCTTACACTGGACGCCCACTGCTCTCCAGCGTCCAGTGCTCCTGGGCTGCCCCAGGTTCTGGACAAGAAAGAACAGATTGTCTTGAGTGTCAGGGTTGGGAAGGAGGCCCAGACTAAGTTTTGGCCATGATTTGTGACTGCCAAGGACTCATGGGTTGGGGCTGGCCCTACTCAAATGTTACACTGAAAATAGTGGCTTCAAGTACAGGCGATGGCTTTGGACATGTCAGGAATTCCTAAAGGCTGCAAGAGTGTTTCCAAATGAAGTCTGAAACTGACTGCCTTTTGTTTTGGGGAACACAACTAAAATCAAACAGCAGACAGTTTGGACTTTTTCTGTGTACATGTATAGTGACCCATCTGCATATCTGCCTGGGGCACACCACAGATGTGCACAGCCTGCACCAGGCATCTCATCAGCATAGGTCAGCATGAGAGGGAATGCCTGTACCAAGTAGGTGGCCTGTGGGTGCTCAGTACATCACCCTGTAGTCCTCAGAGATTGGGTCCCTTTAAACCCACCCTGTGCACACATCACCCCTTTTTGCATGCATTTCTCGTTTCATTTTAGAAGGGATGACATTTGTGAAACCAGTGAGAGAAGACTTGATGTGTATAAGAAGCATAAGATCTGCACCACCTTGATCTCAGTGTTTCAGACACTTAAAAAAAAAAAAAGTAGTATCTCATTTCATCGTTAAATCCAGAAGAAATATACAGGCTTTCCAAGATGGTTCCCCACATATTCTGGGCACAGATGAAGTGGAGAGGCCACCTCACCATTATTTTGCACTTGTGACACTTTTTGGTTGTCACTGACCACTCAGAAGGGGCCACGGCCTCCTGGGAATTTTCCTGAGCTCTCCTAGTGGCTCCCCAGGGCACTGCTGCCACCTGGCCCTCACTGTGGAGGAGAGCGTGGGCCACCTCACAGCACCACTAGGGCTGCCTGCCACTTCAGCCAGGTTGTGCCAGCCTCCCGGCCAGAACCAGGCAAGAGCTGGGCTCTTAGGCCTCTGAGAAGTTGTCCCCATCCCCACCCCCAGTCCCCCCACGCTAGGACAGCTGGCCCAGACATAGGTTCAGGTGAAGGGGTTAGCCCATGTGTAACGGTTAGTGCCATACCAGCCAAGAGAGGAGCTAGCCAGGTGTGGCTAGGAAAGCTCTCGTTCTGTCAGGGGCCTCAGTAAAATTTGATTTCTTAAAAAATGTTTTAAATCTGGAGGTCTATTGATTATTGGTTGTATTCTACCCCTTAAAGACGTCACACATGCTGCTTGTTTTTCTTTTCTCTTTGCACTGTTTTGATCCTTGTTTGCTTGAGGCTTTTTCCCTGCTGGTATGTGCAGGACAGTTCATTGGTAATGTTTCCCTTGGAGGCCCCACATACCTGCCACAGTTGGTACTTCCCACGAGGGGAGACCCTGGAAAATTCTGTGTTTCAAATGTGGCCTTCAGTTCCTGCTTTTTGCCTCTCAGAAGTGTGGGGCTTTGAATATACTTTTAAAAACAAAACAAAAAAAATCTGTAACTTGGTGCTTGTTGATGAATTGCAAGCTGGCCTTGCAGATGGAGGTATTTATCTTTCAGTTTATTTGAAAGAGATCTGGTTTAAAATTTTTAGCCTAGATTTGTTTTATTTATTTTGTGTGTGTGTGTGTGTTGCGTGCACCAATACGAGTCCAACAGTTGGAACTGATGGATGCAGATGGAGCAGCAGCCAGCGCTGCTTGCTCAGCAGCATCTTTCCAGGTGCCTCAAAGGCCCAGATCAAAACCAAGGGCTGGGGAAGGGGTCCGTGCCCTTCCCTCCCCCGATCCCCATCTCATTCTTTTATCAAGGAATGTCTTCCATGTTTGAGAATTAAGAACCTTGCCACCTGTGAGCTACCTTTGTTTTTGTGATGGAGAATTCTTACCCTTTAGAAATAGACTTTTAAGACCAAAACCAGCTGATTTTCCTATTGAAACCTTGATGTACATCCCCAAAGACCCTAAACAGCAAAAAGTCAAGTTGCTTCCCTCCACCAATCCATACAACTCCAAGCCACAACTGAAGCCTGTCATAATCTTGCTCAGACCCAGCATGGGGCTCAGCTGTTGGTCCTTGTCACTGGCTCCTCCTCCCACAAAGAGAGGTGCTCTGCTAGCAGGGAAGGACCCGGCTCCCACCTAGGGTTCACAGGAGGGTAGTATTGGAAGATGACCTTCATTTCTTCCCTGTGTAGATAGACATAGGCCCAACGACCCTGTTCTCTGGGTTTGAAACAATTGGGGGTTAGTGCTGATCAGATTTACTCTCACAGATGGTCTTCACAAAAGTGCTATGGATAGTGTAAGTTAATATACATCGCTGCACAGCTTGGTTTCTGTTTTAAAGGGTCTTTTACTCCCATCCAGCTGCAACGTTTAACTTGCCTTGATTGTTTTGGTGGTAGTTTTTAAGAATGGAGATTTCACCTCTACCCACAGCCCACTAATTTAAAAAGATTTGGTCAGGTTCTAGTTGGACAAGTTTAGAATCAGAGATTCAGAAGGTCATCCCCTGAAGTCCCCCATGCCACCCAACTTTGGGACTATATCTGCATAGGTGCAGAAAGAACCAGTTACCAAGAACTGCTCTTACATGCCTTTGTATCTCTCTCCCCCTTGACACCGACCTCACGGGGATTTATTATTGTGCTTGGGGAATTGCCTGGGATTGTTGCTGCTTGTGCTTTCGCATATGACCTTGAGAACTAAAGCCCCACCTGGATCTCTCTCCTGTGTGATTTTCTAGGGTAGCTCAGATTGAATTCCCACACTGTTCTCCATACTAAGAAGCCATGTTTTCTCATCAAACTAAAGAAATCAGATTCCTGAAATTGTGCTGAGATCTTGGGGGACAGATGGAGATACTATCCAGAGTCTCTAGATTTCCAGAATCTAGTGAACTTCCTAGGAGGAGACTACATATTCTCTCAAATTATTATCATCTCAGTAGTTGTCATCCCAATCGGGTGACATGCACTTTAAATGCTCTCATCAGTTGGCTTCATTTGAGACAATCAAATATGTTAACTGTTTTCTTGGAAAATGGAGAGGGTTAAAACCGTGTAAATTGCCATATCCAGCCTTTACCAACATTCCCTCTACCACCACCCTGTCCTGCAAGAGCTATCTGTGGGGAAGAAATTCTTATCAAGATTGTTTTTTTGAAAAGGTACGAATCTTACCTTTTTTCCTCTTAACATGTCTCAGGGTAATACCACTAAAAGTTCTCCCTTTACTAATTTTCTCCTTTATTTGTTGTCTTCCCAAGGCCTCAATATTAGTAGTAAGCTCAAATTTTTGAGACCCTTGAGGTTTTGTTTGTCCCTTTATTTGGGGGGAATGGTATTAGTGTGCAGGGGTGAATTAAATAGGCCCGCCCTAAGTGAAAGTGGAACCACACCTTATTGGCCAGAACTTGGTTCAGAAATTGCTATCCATAGAAAGACTTTATATTTTGTTCTTTTGTCTCTAAGACTGTTTTTCTATAGCCAGTTCATTTGTCCCAACGATTTTAGGATTTGCATTGGAGATGAAGTTCACCATAACAGTGGGTGGCCAGCTGTGCCCACAGGATAGCCTGGCCCTGGCAGGGGTTTAGAAAGACAGTCCTGGTGAAGGAGTTTTGGTGGCCAGAAAGGGAGGCACTGAGGTGACCCCAGATACTGCAAAAGGATGTCCACCCTCTGTGCTTGGGCACCCTTGGATAACAGTGCCAATGGTCGCAGGAGACCCAGTGCCTTGCTTTCCTTCAGCAGGACCATCTTGGCATGCACCCGTTTACGTCTTGGGGCCTGTCCCAGCTAGCCCTGTCGCTCCTGTCCATCCTCAGAGGCAAAGAAGAGTGCAAAGAGTTTGGGTCTGGCTCATAATTTTTCTTTCAGTGTAGCATAACATTCCTAGTTAATCAGAGTTTGGAATCTACTGCCTGCTGGCCAGGTTTTGAAATGAAAATTATTTTAATTCTGCCATAAATGAAAAAAAAAAAAGGAAAACAAAGGCATCTTTCCAGATCTAATTTAATTTGTCACAAGTCTGACAGGCTATGAATTATTTCTCCATCTGGCTATGGCTTAAAGATGGGCAGCCCCCACTGTCTAAGCGTCCCTGTCATAGAAGTGGGTTGACCTTCCTGGGAACCAGGTAGGCCCCGCCTGTGCTCAGGGACCCTGGTCACTGCACATCGTTCACCCCCAAGCCCTCCCCAGCATGAACTTGCCCCTGCCTTTCGTCATTGCCTGACGGGATGGACAGTCCCAGACACTGACGTGGGATATTCCCAGCTATTTTGCCTGTGGCTTAAGTGTAGCCTTGTGGCTTCCTCTGTGTGAATTACCCGTTTAGGGTGCACTCAGGGAGGCATGAGGATTTTCAGGAGGGTGGTTAGGATACACCTATACCTCTGCTCTCATTGGTTGTTTCCAAATGCTGTATGAACATTTCTGTGCTAAATCCTGTTAATAAAAAGACGGGTTAAAACCCAAGTGCTGTATATTAATTTGTAATTATGTACAAAGCGAAGCAGTTTTAAACTGTAAAGATTTTTTTTTCAGTGTGTTTTCTGAAATTTTGCCCCAACATACTGGCTTTGTATTTTATTTATCTTCCTTTCTAGTTATCGGCTTCAGACTCTTGTAAAGTCCCCCCTCAAACCTTTCAAAAAAATAAATGTCCTTTGAAGTCTTGATTGTTACTGTCATTTATTCCTATCCCTGGATTCCTGGTAAAAGGAATACTTTCCCCCCGCATTCTGAGGAGAGCCATCTCCCCAGTGGAAAGGTTTATTTGTGCCTTTGGGAGCAGGATTCCAGAGAGATCTTCAGCAAAATCAGCTGCTGGGGATACTCTCACTCTGTCCCAGAGTGGGGACCCAAAACCTGAGGGTCACTGATCAGCCCTGAAGTCACAGGGTTTGTGTCAATAGTCAATACTGTATTTCCAGATAAATCAATGCAGTAAAAATGTCCTTTGCTATAGAGTACAAGGACACCTCAAAAAAATCATGGAAAAATAAAATTGAAAGACAATCTTTCTGTGAACTTTTTGGGGTACCCTTATATTTGATGTTTATCTTTCTTTACCAACTTTCTCCATCCCATCCCACCCCAAACAAGAGCAACTGCCAAAAACTAACTCCAGAAGAAAGATCCTGTTTGCATATAGCTCCGTAGGAATGGTGCCAGGTCTGATCTCAGAGTGCTGGGGTTCCCGTGGAGAAGGTGCTGACATACACAGTACGAGCTCCTGCTGGCTGTGCCTGCAGCACCTGTGGCTTCCTTTCCTGTGTTGCTGGCGTCCTACGTTTTTTTTTTTTTTAATGACTGGTAAGGGGATCTTAACCCTTGACTTGGTGGTGTCACCACCACGCTCTCCAAGTGAGCCATGGGCCAGCCCCTGGCTTCCTACTTCTGAGTCTGAGCTTACTGGGCCTGTGGAAAGGCCCTTAAGTCCAACTGGACATTGGAGAACTGCTGATCAGAGCAGTGTGAGCATCATGGCTTGAAGATCCCCATCCCAAGGCAAGCCCATGGCCCAGGGGTAGCCGAGGATGAGGTCTGCAGCAGAGGCTCTGCCCGGAAAGGGAGTATGGGTAATCGCAGCAAGGCAAAAATCTAAACCAAAAACGTGGAGAGGAAATTGGGAAGCTGGAACCAGGGCATGGAAAAAGGGACTAGACCCCCCTCCCACAACCAGGCACACCATGCCAGCGCCTCAGGGTCTGCCCGGGGACCCGGGGCATGGAGAACGGGACCACACCCTGCTCCTACAACCAGGCACACCTCACCAGCACCTTGGGGCCCACCCAGGGACCCAGGGCATGGAGACAGGGACTGGACCCCCCTCCCACAAGCAGGCTCACTGCCCCAGTGCCTTGGGGCCAACCCAGGGACCTAGGGCATGGAGAAGGGGACCAGACACCCCTTCCACAACCAGGCACACCGTGCCAGCACCTCAGGACCCACTTGGGAACCTGGGGTATGGAGCTGTGGATTGGACACTCTCCACAACCAGGCACACCACCAGCGACAAGGAGCATGTCAAAATCATCTCCTCCGTGTGGGTGGCCCATCACAGCCACCACGATAACCATGGCTGCCATGAAGGCAGCTAGATACCACAACCACCACGCAGATTGTCCGCCAGCCACTGGAGTGCCTTAACACAAGGAGAGTCACCAGCAGAGACAAAGGAGGAGGATGTCTGTCTCCACAGAGCCCATTTCATAGTGACAGAAGAGACATCTGCTCTATGATAGTATTGGGGGACCTGATCACGCCTCTCAGCATTGGACAAATCATTTGGGCAGCAAATCAACAGAGTAACCATTATTCTTTCAGAGGGTGAGAAGAAATCTAGGGCAATCAGAGGGGGGAGGGGGAGGGATTGGAC